TCTGTGCTGTACTAATCGACAATCGTTGTCATTGCGCTTAATTATTTCGTTTATATACAACATTTTTCAGGATATACCTTTATATATATAATATATATATGTGTGTGTGTGTGTATTCGTAGTTTCATTGACAGTTGATTTAATTTTATATCGTGAATTAATATCATAGAAACATTTAAGTAGCTATATAGGAAAAAAAAATTGTTTCTATATTATTTTATTAAAACGATTTTCATTACATTAACAGCCTTAAACTAAACTCAAATTTATTTCGATACGAATAATGTGCATATTATATTGTTCGGAAGCATTTTAATAGTTACTTTAATATAATAAAAACTAAATAATAACTACTAAAAACTAAACATCCAGTTCGGTAATGTTTACTGAGATGGAAATAGACGGTTTAACTTTATTTCTTTTGAAGTGTTTTAATTAATAGACCAATCAAAATTGTTTTTTTTTTAATTTAATTCAAATTAGTATCTGCATGACTGAAAATATTAGCGTCACACTAGTACCTATTATATTATAGACAAATAGTAGAGTATATTAGGAAATTATCTACTAATCCAACACTCTGTTCTTGCAACAGTGTTAAATTTAACATCTATTAACTTATTTAAATTCTTTTCTCATTTACATAATATTACATTAATTTATTCAATTTTTATTGTTAGTTTGATACCTATATTTTATCGGTATAAAATGAACTCTAGGTACCTACTTTGTTTATGTGTAGTTTGTAACTTACAGGTAGGTATGCATTATGTTAATTAAATATAGCATAGTAAAGTGATATACACAAACATAGAAGTTTTGATATATTATATTACAAAATATAAAAAAAAAAATATGAAAAAAATTAATTTTTATTTTCTTGATAGTTATGTTTTTTTAATAAATGTATTTATTAATTATGGTTATCAAAGAAAACAATCAATGGTTGTATTTACCTATTATTAAAACTAGGAAATTGTTTAGATAGTCAGATGTATACAATATGTATCTATAATAAATGTTTAAATACGTTTTATAATAATGTAACACGCTATTAATATATAAATGTTATATGATTGATTGAACTTGTACTACGAAAATACAACCTTATAGTATACCTTCTAGTTTCTACACATTGCATCTTGCTCAGTAAAGTTTTACTATAGAATGTTAATGTAACTTCAATATTTATTACACTTAAAATATCAGAATACTGTTCCCAAAAACTTAAATTTGGTTTTTAAAATTCAAATCAAAAGTTTTGAGTCATACCTATATAATATGTAGGTAACTTCCTACTTTGTTTCRTATATATATAATTGTATTTGTTTATAGTGGAAAGTGGATAGGAACTAGGAACTGAAATGGTCACGACGACGAAAAACTATGCTACAGTTTATGAGTTAAAACCATTGCGTAGATTAATTAACCTCGTCAAGATTTTCTATAATGTATTCACTTGTATAAAGTATAGAATAGACATCATTAATCGTTAACAATAGCTATTTATATTTTACTTAAAATKACATAATTTAGAATTTTACAAGGTCGTTATTTCGTTAAACAATAATCATTCTTTAGCAAGTACCTATAATAGCAACTACAACTATTAGTTTATTAGCTCATCGGTATAAGTATTTTCATTGTTTTCATTTTATTAGTTTTTCATTCCAATTGAATTTTCATGGAGTTAAATATCAATACCTATACATATACGCRTAATATCCGGTAAAACGTAGTTAATTATCGGTGCTACATTTCTGTACAATTTAGAATTAAAATGACAAATTGATGAGTGATGAACTAATAGTCCAGTGATAGATACCTATAATTTTACCTATTTGACAAATATTTTCAGTTCTAACATCGTAAATTTGATTTAATTTTAAAAAGTTAAAAGTAAGAATAAACATAGGTATTATTTTAGTACAGTTTTTTTCATAATGTAAAAAGTTATTTAAAATTTAAAATATAATTGTTAATATT